CGACCGCTCGGTGGCTAGAAGCGCATCACAACCGACACGCCGCAGCTCCACAGCAGGGCGGGAGCCGCTCCGAAAGGGGGAGGGCTGCACCGCTGAGCCTGCCAGGGCCTTGTTACGCGGGGCCAGTCGAGGCGCCACCGCCACCGACAGTGCAGCCAGCCGACCCGCGCCCAGAGGAAACCTCCGAGCTGCGAGCCAGCCGCGCTGCGGGGTGAGGCGCACGAGGCGTCTGCCCATCGGGAAACCATCTGCTTCTCACACACAGCCGCTGCCCAGGCGGCCCCATCCAGTCCGGAGGGGCACAGCGAGGGAGCTTTTGCGTCGGGGGAGGGTGAGTCCCCGCGGCGGCACGTGCTGACCAGGCGTCTACGTAACCGAGACTGGGGCCGGATCGCGCAGTGGCGACCCAACCCCGCCCAGCACCGCCTCACACGCACCAGCCGCTCAGTCAACCTACCGGGCCGCGGCTCAAACCGTAAGCAAAAGTCTGCTCCGGCGAACCGCGCCGAGGGAGCACCGCGCCGGCTGCCTCGCGGCCGCCGTTCTGCGCGTCTCCTCACCTATCCACCTGCTTGGGTGGCCGAGAGGGCGGTACCGACCGCGCGGGCAGCACCGCCAGACAAGCCCCAGTGTGTCCGCGCCGGTGCGCGTACTCGCGTTTGTATTCGCCGCAGAAATGCGTATTCCTCTAAGTGGTACGCCGGAGGGCGCCGCTTTGATTGGGTGAGACCATTACCGAGCCGAGGCGCGGACACACTGGGGAAACTGCGGCCCCAGTCATACCGATTCGCCCCGAAGCCGAATGGAATGGGACTGGGGATGCAAATGCGAACCGAATGCGACGTTTTGACTAGGAAACGCGCACACCGACTGCAAACAAAGCCAAACACACCCGAAACGAAGCGACTTGGGCCCCGTGGAGCCGGGAGACGGGCTCCGGGACCGGGGCGGCCGGCACACCGACCTCGCCGCACCACACCCCGCCGCCCCGCCTCGGTGCACGGGACCGGGACGCCCCCGCCGCGGCCCCTCACACCGCTGGGCGGGCCCCGCCGCGCCCCTCCGCCCTCCTCGCCCCACGGGCGGCCCCCCAGCTCCGGAGACCGGCGCCCGGCCCTCTGCCCCGACCGGCGACCGCGCCGCGCGGCGGCTCTCTCGAGGCGCCGCCATGCGCCTCGGCTCATGGCGGCGGGGGGTGGACGCAAGCGCGGGGCGTCCGTCGGCCCTAGCGGTGGTGGTGGGGGGGGGGGCGAGAGCGCTCGCGTCGCGGCGCCGCTGGCGAGCGCCGTGCAGCGGCCTGCGGGGAGAGGGGCAGGGGGAGAGGCGAGACGGTGAGACGGTGACGGTGACGGTGGCGGTGACGGTGACCGCGCGGAGAGGAGAGGGGCGCGAGGGCTGCGGGGGGAGGGGGGGCGCCGCGCCGCGCGGGAGAGGGGGAGGGGGGCGGAGGGGGAGGGTGGGGGAAGGAGGGAGGAGGCTACCGCGAGAGGGGTGTGTGC